CCCTCTGTCTGTCTCTGTACTGACCTCAGGCCCTCTGTCTGTCTCTCTCTGCACTGACAGACCAGGCCCTCAGCCCCTCTCTCGTTCCCTCTGTCTCTGTACAGGCAGACTCAGGGCAGCTCCGGTGCCCAGGCGAAGCAGGAGGGGCTGAGGGAAGAGGTGGAAGATGCCTGGAGGAAGCTGGAGATAATCAAAGTCAGTCACCTATGTGGTACCAGACGCACCATCAGATCCTGTCATCAGCAGTATCAGTGTGACAGCAGGCAGCAGTAGAATCAGTGTTATTACTGACAGCATGTGAGGCTGTACTGCCTATAAAATGATATTCCAGTTATCACCAGTACACTGAGCTTTAGTTTCTAGTCATGTGAACACCTGTCGTAGATGTGCTGTAATAAGTCTAGAGTCCATTTGAACCATAGTGCATGTCAGGGATGGGAGCCATCACCTGTGATGGTTTCCATGGTGAAGGAAACAGGTGAGGTACCAGAGTGTCACCATGGGAACAGGTGGCCTGCCAGGCCTGATGCCGCGGTCCAGACAGGGGGTCAGCGCTGACCGCGCCCTGCTCTGTGTTTGCCTGCAGGACCAGTACTCCGCCGATCTCTACCACTTCGCCACCAAGGAGGATGACTACGCCAGCTACTTCACCCGGGTGGGTAGTCAGCTGCCGGCCCGTTCGGCGATCACACGCGATCGCATTGAATCGAGTTCGGCGATCTGGCGGGCGATCTGCGCGCGGCTCACCGGCCCGAGGGCAGTCGCACCTGCAGTCTTTCGGGAAGGAGTGAGTCAGAGTGTGTTGTCCTTTTCCCACAGCTCCTGGAACTGCAGGCCGAATACCACAAGCAGTCCTTCAGCATTCTGGAGCCCATGATATCAGAGCTGAAGGAGAACAATCACCACACTGGTGAGCCAGCAGGCCCTGCTCTATATACCCTACAGGCGCAGAAGGGTTTTGAAAAAATGGTTAGACTGAACAAGGGAAATTAAGAATCACGTTGCACAGACCAGTCCATTGCTTCCTGAGTAGTTTTGTCATCCAAAAGAATAGCTGTAGCCCCAGAGTGTATCTCGGAGATCATAGCCAGGGTCCCAGTCCAGGATGAGCCCCTACAGCCTGGAGATCACAGCCAGGGTCCCAGTCCAGGATGAGCCCCTACAGCCTGGAGATCACAGTCCAGGGTCCCAGTCCAGGATGAGCCCCTACAGGCTGGAGATCACAGTCCAGGGTCCCAGTCCAGGATGAGCCCCTACATCCCAGAGATCACAGCCAGGGTCCCAGTGCAGGATGAGCCCCTGCTGCATTTGCAGTTGTGTGTCAGCGCCTCAGAGCCGTGGCTGGTGTGTCTTGCAGTGCCTTCGATGAGCAGTGGCCGAGCGAAGGT